AGAAAAACGGTCAATGATGCAGGCAAATGGTGGTGGAATATTATCACACCATTAAAAAAATATGTTTCCAAAAAATATTTAGAAGGACAGAAATACTTGTGATACAACATTAAGTAGAAAAGGATAACTGATATAATACATGCCATTTGTTTCCTTCTAAAAGATTATATGCACATGTACCATGTATGCACAAGCAGAGAAAGAAACTCTAAGAAATTAGCATTTTAAAGGTGGTTATTTCTGGCAATAGGACTCTTGGTGAATTTTCTCTTCTTCTATTCATGTTTATGTACTTGCCAAGTTTCCACAGTGAACTTGTATTCTTTTATCGAAAAAAAAAAAGCTACTTAAAAATTGCAATGCTGGACTTCCCTGGTGGCCCAGTGGATAAGAACCCACCTGCCAATGCAGGGGACATGGGTTCAAACTCTGGTCCGGGAAGATCCCACATGTTGTGGGGCAACTAAGCCCAAGCACCACAAGCGCTGAGCCATTGCTCTAGAACCTGTGAGCTGAAACTACTGAGTCTTCATGCCTAGAGCCTGTGCTCCGTAACAAGAGAAGCCACTGCAATCAGAGGCCCACTCGATGCACGGAAAAGTAGCCCCCACTCTCCGCAACTAGAGAAAGCGCGCGCCAAGCAACAAAGACCTTTTTGGTGTTTGTTTTATTATTTTGGTGTGTGTTTTATTATTTATTTTTGGTGCAGCCAAAAATAAATAAATTTTTTTAATAAAAAAATTGCAATGCTATCAATTTAGGAGGTAACAGTTTTACTACACACTCTCATTGCTCTAGGCATCATAGTTTTCTTTTTATAACTCTGTCTAATCTGAAAGGAGTAAGATGGTACCTGATGCTTTATAAGAAGTCATTTTGTAAACAAGAATAGAGATACCAATAATCTTTCTGCTCTTTATCAGCTGATCCCACCTGACCCCTGCACTCCTCAAGAGGGTCTCATCAGCTGGAGAGCCCACAAGGTTAAGAACCAAAGATAATGTTGGGTTTCTGCTCAAACACTGGGACACAGTCACTTAAAACAAATTGCTGCTGCTGCTGCTGCTAAGTCGCTTCAGTCGTGTCCGACTCTGTGCGACCCCATAGACGGAAGCCCACCAGGCTCCCCCGTCCCTGGGATTCTCCAGGCAAGAACACTGGAGTGGGTTGCCATTGCCTTCTCCAATGCACGAAAGTGAAAAGGGAAAGTGAAGTTGCTCAGTCGTGTCCGACTGGTAGCGACCCCAGGGACTGCAGCCTACCAGGCTCCTCTGTCCATGGGATTTTCCAGGCAAGAGTACTGGAGTGGGGTGCCACTGCCTTCTCCTAAAACAAATTAAGGGCTGCTAAATCTTCTGATGGGTGGGAACAAATATTTCAAGTTTCCCAATTTTACAGGCAAACAAATGAAATTTTTAAAGGCACACTCTAATTAAATGGGAGAATCAAACTCTACAGATTTGGGAAGTCTATACAGAAGCCACTAGACATACATGGCTACTTAAATTGTTAAAATTAAATAAAATTGGACCTTGAGTTCCTTAGTCATACTAGTCACATTTCAAGTGCTCAATAGGCACACGTGGCTAACAGCTATTGTACTGACGAGCAGACAGAAAACATCTCCCATCACAGCAAAAAGCTCTATTTAAATGGACAGTGGTGCAACAGATGTTGCTGAACATGCAGGGGGAGAAATTCTAGTTAACGGTATGTGTAAATGAAATTTGCAATTAACTGAAGAATGCTTATAAAGTGGTGCATGCGTGCTAAGTCGCTTCAGCTGTGTCCGACTCCTTGCGACCTTATGGACTGTAGCCTGCCAGGCTCCTCTGTCCCTGGGATTCTCCAGACAAGGATACTGCAGTGAGTTGCTGTGCCCTACTCCAGGGGATCTTCCCGACCCAGGGATCAAACCCCCATCTCTTACGTCTACCTCTCTGGCAGGTGGGTCCTTTACTACCATGCCGCTTGGGAAGCCCTTATAAAATGGTAAGAAAATCTAAAGGAATACAAGACCATTTCCCTTTTGGTTAAACCTGTTAGAGGAAAGGAGATCATACTTATATAACTTACATCCGCTTTTGCTTTAACACCCGCAAGGCTTTCTGCTTGACCATATTCTAGGAAGAAAAGTAGATTTTAATGAAAGGAAGGAGAAAATATACAAATGGTAAATGAATCCCATATCCTCAAACTCACATACCTACTTCCTCTCATCTTCAAAGCACTAGACATGGTGGCTCCCAGACTGTTCACCTCCCAAGTGGGCTCTAAGCTCCAGCCCGCCTCAGTTTTTTCATCCCACATCTCAGTACATTTCCTTTTCTAGGGGATATTATTTCTACTCCAAGAGGGCCAATTTTGTATATGCAGGTGCCTTAGAGAGATTCCACATTTGGACAGTCTGCTCTCCACTCAAACTCCCCATGCCCAAACTCTTAAACCTGCTATCACCTTGGAAATGACTAACAACAGCCCCACCAGTCTCTCACTTCTCTAGGCTGAAAACTGTTACACCAACCTTACCTTTCCTCTCTCTGTTGTCTCCTCATGCATTGTCATCATGTTAGATTTTCAGAACTCACTTTCAAATTGATTCCTCTCATGTCATTCTCATGACTACCACCATGGTTTAGGCTTTCATCTCCTCAAGTCTAGGTAGGCTGTCCTGCCTCTGGTCACTCTTCACTCCATGCCATCCAACTACGATGGCAGAGAAAATCCTCTGGTCACTTCGCTTTCTATACTGTTTCATAAACCACTTTGTCTCCTCCAATGAAGACGGAAAAGCAGGTATTATTACTTCACAGATGATAATAATACCTAACACTTACTGACTGTTTCTATGCACTAGACATAGTACTATGTAAGTCACATGAATTACCTTGTTTAATCTCATGCTATAAAGTAGATAGTATCCCCATTTTACAGATTGGAAAGCTGAAGTTCAGTTTGCTAAGTTCAGATGCTAAGTAACTTGCTCTCACTTAAATGCCTAATAAGTTACAGAGATGGGGCGGGGAGAAAAAAGCACCTCAAATTCACAGTCCATACACTTACATACACCACTCTATGTTTCTTCCTAACAGAAGAGGAAAGTAAGAAATTAAGTGACTTTATAAAAGTCACAGCTAGTAGGTAGTGATGGTATTAATAGAACACTAGTACTTTTCCCCAACATGCCATTCCTTAACCAGTCTATTATATATACCTAACCTGACCAGCCAAGCAACTCATTAGTCTGAGCAGGCCCAGCCTGTCCAGATTGCCACGTTCTCAGTAGAATATGCTAATTCCCACATACATGTTTCTGTGTGTGTGATCAACATCTCTCCACCAGGTCAAGCCCCAGTTTTCCTCTTATATCAGGCTGCAAACTCTCCTCCTTGAAGGACACCCTGTCACAAATGTTTTCCCTTTACCAGACTGTGAGCATCTCTTCTATATCCCTCACCAGCAGGCCCTACTTCCACAGGTACTCAAATCAAGGTGTCACAACTTCTGCAGGGGCTGTCTACCTTACCTTTGCAGGTCCCTCCCTCATCTTCTTGATCTGATCCTTATACTTCACTAGTTCAGCATCCAGCCGAGAAATCTTCTTGTCAATGGATTCTGCTCTGCTGTCCACCTTGAGTGGAAAAACATCAAAGGCAGTGGTAATTATTGCAATACATTTACATGAAAAGTGGTAGGGGAGGGATGAATATAGAGGAAGAAAGGAAAAATGAAGAAGAGCATATGGTGAAGGTTGAAAA